ATCTGGCCAACCGCTCCCCAAACTCGGCCATAACAAAGCCTTGAAAGACTCCAGTCACAGTGGCAGTGGAGTGGGCTGAAGATGAAGGCTTGGAGCCAGGCTCCTCTTTCTCAGATGCTGTGTGCAGCTCTAGCGTGACACAGCGCATCCCTATGAGCTTTGAGCAACTTTACCCTGAGTCTGTCTCTGCAGAGAAAGCTAAGCTAATACAATATTCCCAACCTGTCCTATTCATTTAAGCAGGCATTGTTGTAAATGAGGTCAATATACTAATTCCCAGCAAGGGAATTCTTCAAAAGATGTGCCAGGCAGAGCCACCTGAAACTCGGTTGATGATTCTGTCAAAGGAACGTTCCTTTGTTCATTTCTTTGAAAATAAACTGTTTTATATTTCTTCCTACTTCTATTTTGACTCAGAAAACAGTCCAGACACAAAGTATTATTTTTTCTTTTAACTCTTAGGATGGCAAGATATACAAGGTAAAAGATTTTAATTGCGAGGTTAAGAATAAGCAAATAATTCCTTATAAGGCTGAAAGACAGAACCGAGACAAACATTTTCCACCTTGGGGGAAGAAAAATTGATGACAAATGAAGGGAAAAAAACCAAATCTTTCTGCAAACCTTCAACTGTGATCAGATAAACAGAACAAGTTCTATCAATAATAAAGCCATAAATCAATCCAGAGGAAGGAAGGAATGATTGTGAAGTGGTGTGCATGTAGACCAACAGATTCGGAAAACATACACAGTAATGGCTTAAGAAATTGATGAAATTCCTGTTGAGACAGGTTAATTTTCAGATAACTTTTCTCAAGCTATCCATCTTCAAAATAAGACCAAACAATAATTATTATGAGACAATTTACTTGCAATTTTGCCTGAATCACAATTAGTTGATTTTTCATGAAAAACGTGTTTGAAGTTATAAAACATTAATAGTTCTTTGAAAAACTAGTGGTTTCAGAACAGTTTTAAAATTTAATCTCATTTTATTTATTTACTGACTTTTTTCAGTGCTTGGAAAATAAAATCCAGGGCTTTAAGCATGCTACATGAGTGCTCCACCACTGGCCCACACTGCTAGCCCCAGACCAGCTTTTAAAGATGGTCTTGACAGCCATATAGAAATTCTTACAGCTCTGTGTAGCTTCTGTTTTAAGATGGAGAAAAATTACATGCTTATCTAGAATACATTCATCATGCCCCTCTTCCCCCCATTTCCAACATGGCCAAGTAACTAGTTTGACCAAAGGACCATAAGCAAGGTGCTGATGAGTTCCATTCACAGGATGTCTTTTCTCTCTATCATAATGATCATGGAGTTCATGTATTGAGATGGCCAAGCCTCAAGCTGGAAGCAGCCTGAGTCACTGTCCACACAGACAAGAAAAGATCTTATTAGTCTTTTTGTAAGCAAGAAATGAGCTTTATAAGATGTATCCATTGGTGTAATAGTGGCATGGCTGTGATGGCTGTACCCAACTGCTTTTTATTCAATCTGAGGCCTGTTCCACAAGAGATAATTCATGTCTGGAGCTATGGATATGATCAAAGGCTCAGGAGGACAAAACGCCTCCTAAATATTTATGCTTATACCCATAGACTAGTGCTGCTCTCATTCTTGGTCAGAGTAACTTCTTTTGACAGTGATTTGTGGTTAATGCAGAGACTCATGGCTAGTTAAGGTTCTCAGAATAAGTGACTGTTGAGAGTTCAACCCTATGTAGGATATCTATATCACCCCCTCCAAGGCTTAGGGAATATTGCATAAGAGAAAGCAGAAAGAATATAAGATCAGGAGGATGGGGATGAGGGATATGTAATATTGTCTTTTGGGCACGACACAGACATGCTTATGAACTCACAGTAGTCTGCACAGGGCGTGAAGAAGACCGGACCCATAAACATTTCATCATGAATGGGAGACAAACTCATGGGGCTCTGCTCCTCCTCAGGGGGCTTATTGGCAGATGATGGCTGCTAGGGGAGGGGGACTCATTGTCTTCAGTGGCATAGCCGCTTGTGAATTGCCCATGCCCCAGTGGATAGCTCCACATACATGCATGGGACCAATCTTGGGTAAGCTCAGTGGATCACAAAATGAAAACACACACACACACACACACACACACACACACACAATATGAAAACTGGAGGGGGACTGGCTGGGAGGAGGGGAATGTTTGTAGGGGTGGGAAGTAGGGAATGAGGAGAGGGTGAGGGGTGAATGATCAGAATGCATTATATACCTGTATGAAATTGCCAAAGAATAAACTAAAGGACCAAACCAAACAACCAAAGAAACAAGCCTTAGTTCTGTGAAGGTAACAGGATTTTATTTGTTATGGTTGCTTAACCTTGCTTATTCTGACTAGTATGGACCTTGAAGAATTTATTTTTCATTTTATCTTTTTAAAGCTTTTGACAAATTATATTTTTGCATAATTATAATATATAAAGTGGTGTCATGGTTATACAATTATATAGTGTGGAATGACTGAATAAAGCTCATTAATGTACTCACACACAAAAAAGTCTTCCATACAGTGTCTCTGAGAAGTGCTCATATGCTTCTTGAGTGCCTCAGGAACAATACAAATAACAGCAAGCAATTATATAAAACTCTTAATTGTTTCCAGACATTCCAGAGTATTTTACATGGATCAACTTACCTAATTCTCATAAAACCTTGATGCATAAATATTATTGCTCTCATTTTACAATGAGAGGAGCTGAAGCACAGAAAAGTTAAATAACCTGCTCAGGGTTAGATACATAATTCATTTGCAAAAGGTCACACAATGATAAGCAGTATCACAGGAGGCAAATCCCAGTAGCCACCTTCTGTTTATAGTATCAGGGCTCCTTAGAGTGGGTTCTCATCCTTTCAACACAGCACAGTCAAAACATGCAAAAGGCAACTTTGCAAAGATCTTAGAGATCAACCAACCAGTTCATTTTATATGGAAGCAAAGAAACTATCCTACAGGCCATTTTCCAGGTGTAGCAAAACAACAAATTCTAAGTTGTGATTTTTTTTTCAAATATTTTTGTGAGCAGAAAGGCTCAGTGGAAGGTTGTCAGTGGGCATCTGTTTGCAGGTGAGTGGAAGTATTACTTCAACTCACTACCTTTGTTTTTATTTTAGTGCTTTACATTAGGGATACAGGTTGTCCCTGATTTGAAATGCTCAGGATCAGAAGGATTTGGATTTTGGGGGGAGTATGTGTGATATATATCATGAGATATTTTAAGGATAGGCCCCCTAAATTCTAAATTTTATTTATATCTCATATGTATCTTATACACATAGTCTACAGATATTTTTATTTTTTTAGATAGGGCCTTGCTATGTAGCCCAGGATGGCCTCAAACTCACGATCCTCCTGCCTCCTGCCACCTGAGTGCTGAGGTTACAGGCATGCACTACCATGCCTAGCACCTGCAGATAATTTTGTACAACATTTTTGGTGCACCTGCATTTTGATTGTCCTGTCACACGAGGTCAAGTGTGGAATGTTCCACTTAGAGCATCATGTCAGCACTCAGAAAGTTTCAGATTTCAGAGCATTTCAGTTTCAGATTAGGGATGGATGCTCAACTTGAAGTAAGTTTTTGGTAAGCACACATGTAACTATTCTATTCTTTAATACTTAAAAAAATGAAGGATATTACCATACATCCTCTGAAGTGGGTTTGGAAGGTTTTACTAAACAATGCAGGGCTTAATGCTAGTTGGATGATGGGCTGGGCACAAAGATTCCATAGCCCAGTGGCCAATTCTCAAGTCAGTATAGTTCGCTGTTTCTAAATGTATACTCAGTAGCTCCCTGGCAGTAAGAGCTGCTTTATTCATTGTGACATGTAGCAGAAGCTTTACAGGTTAGATCTGGAAGGTAGAATGTGAATTCTAAGAAGCTTCAGTGAAACAATCCTTCAAAAAGAAGATTAAGTTCATTTGGGTTAAGCAAAGTAGCACATTTTAGCTGAAATGACCTGATACAAAGAAATGGCAGGAAAGATACTGTGCGTGTTTACATGTCCTCACATGCTCAGTAGTGGCTTTCCCTTGCCCAACCTGTGTCTACAAAAAGCATAAAAGAATAAAAAAAATACTAAATTGATAACACTGGTCTCAGAGAAGTACAAAGGATGCACATGCACAAACATATGTACATACATGAACATGTACAAACACACACAAGCTTATAAGAAACACACAGAAACACAAACACACAGGGCTGGAGAGATGGCTCAGTGGTTAAGAGCACTGTTTGTTCTTGCAGAGGACCCAGGTTCAATTCCCAGCACCCACAGGGTGGCTAACGGCCATCCATAACTCCAGTTCCAGGGGATCTGACACCTTCTTCTGACCTCTCTGGGCATTGCACGACATGGGTGCACTTACATACATGCAGGAAAGGCACTCATACATATAAAGTAATAAATAAAATATTAAAAAAGAAATACAAACACACACCTACATATACAAACACACACAAACACATATAGAAACAGATAAACACACACATATGCATAAATGCACACAAATACCACAAGCACACACATGCACACAATACATATACATACAAAACATACATACACACAACACATACATAAACACATATACACAGAAACACACACATACACAGTCATACACACACAGCTTACTTCATTTTAACTATTGCTCGCACAAAAATGATCTAAATCTGCTGGTCTCATTAATAGGTGACTGAGGAGATTGTCTTTGCGTTAGCAAAGTGTGTGTGTGTGTGTGTGTGTGTGTGTGAGAGAGAGAGAGAGAGAGAGAGAGAGAGAGAGAGAAAGAGAGGGAGAGAGAGAGTATTGGTGCATTGAAAGCAGTTCTTTTATGCTCAAAACTTGTCTTGGTTCACAAATTGGGCCTTATGAGACAAAAATGTGAACTTGAGTGGGTGGAGATTGACAGAAGCCTGGGAGCGAGTTCTTGGAAGCAGAGTCCCCTGTAGACCTCTTACCTTGCGTGCTCCCATCTTCTCCCATAATGAATTTCAGTGATCTGATGATTTGCTCTGCTACTGGGGGACTCATGGAGGTAGCATAAGTAGCGCTATGTGAATGAATCCGTATATAATCTACAAGGTCCTAAAATAAAGAGGAAACCCGAAGGGAAAACAAATCTCAGAGCTAGTGGTGAGGATTACATCTATTCTTCCCATACATTAGAGCAAAACATTTGATCACATAGCTCAGAAGATGAATGTGGTCTGTCCGACTCTCAAGGGGTACCTCATAACCACCTATTTTTCTAACCACTTTTCCTTCATCTTTGTCTCAAAAAAACCTAGAAACTGTACAAAAGAGAATGGGCTGCAAGTTTAGAGTTGAGGTCTATAAGGCAAAACCAAATAAAGGAAATATATAAAGGAAGAATGATTTCTGAAACATCTATTGAGTACCTTCCTTGCTCAAGCAGTGACTTGGCATTTAAGGGTGTCCAAAGAAAACAGCCTGGCTCTTTCTTGACCTTGAGAATATTATGTATATTTGTGCCCATGAAAAGTAACAGTGCATGCAAAAGATTGCATGTAATAGGACTGTGAGATGTGGAGGAGAGAGTGCTGCTAGAAGGGGCAGCCAGGGAATGTTCCAGAGAAGAGATAAGATTTATGAAATCTTGAAACGTGAGGACTGATAAAGAAAACTTGGAAGGAGGGGGTGGCGTAAGAGAATTTGAGCAGAGCTGCAGAGATAAGAAAAGAGAAAACATGTATATTTGATTGTCCCCAAATGACTGTTATTCTTCCACTCCCAATCCCCATACAGCTTTGTAATCTTAACTTTTCAGGTCTTCCCTTCAAGCAGCTGATGAAGCTGGGCTGACCTTGTGCTTTTCTTTGAGCAGTAGAATGTGGCAGGCATGATGCTATGGTAGTTCTGAGCTTGCCTCAAAAGGCTTTGAGTACTTTTGTTTTTTCAAAGCCCTCTCAAGCTGCCATGTGAATAAGCCTGAGCTAGCCTGCTGGAGGAGGAGAGCCTTGTAGAGTAGAGAAAGGCTATCTCAATCCAAGTTACCCTATCCCAACCAGTGCCCAGCTACTCAGCAACTTGCTGTCACACAAGAGGGATGAGATGAGATGGAAAGGAACTGCCTAGCCAAGCCCAGACCACATCGTTTGAGTACAGAGCTGTGAGTTAAATAAATGGTGGTGGTTTAGTTGCTATATTTAAAGTGATTTGTTATACAGCAAAGCTAACTGATGCTTGTTTGGAAGACATCAGAGGACAGGTTCAAAGTATTCTATAGAGAATGTTGAACTTGGTTAGTGGGAAATTAAACCAGAGTATAGGCTAGGACAAGATAAACTCTGCTTGTGCCTTATGCAATCTAAAACTATTAAAACTTTTTGTTTAACAATCTTTGGAGTACTGAACCACTGCAGAATTGTGGTCTTCAGTGGTAGAACAATCTGTCTGATTCCTGAGACCAAACTTAACTTCATAGGTAAGCATGCTTAGAGCCCTGAGCGGTTCCAATAACCTTATACCAAGTGGGGAGTGCCTCAGAGTTGGTGTCTGGAGTGTTCATCCTAGCTGATTGGTTTATGGATCGGGACTCTCAGAGTGTTTTGCAGGAAAAACTAATAGCTGATGACAACCTACAAGTGAAGTCTCAAAAGGATAATGTTACAACTTAGAATTCTACTTAAGTATCTTTTCTGATCATTCTTTATACAGGTGAATTGGGAACAGCTCTTGGGAATTGAGGTCTTTGCTTTGGGTAGATCCATGTCCTTTTAACCTTCCTCTGCAGTTCACAGCTCTTTCCACTGCTATAAATGAATTCCCACCTCTGGGACTATACCCTACCCCTGGCTTGTCTGTCTGTTTTGGGATCCATGTTCATAAGCATTTTAAGCGTTCAGAGTTCATCTTTCTCTATGAAATGGATGGTCTGCCTTGCAGGTGGATAAAGGTAAACCAGTAATGTGATGACTCTGTCTGGCCCATAGCGGGAGTCAGGGGCTCCACTTTGTCCTGTCTCCAATGTCTTTCCTTCTAAAGCCTGTCTTGTACTCTTACTTCCTATCTGACTTCTTTCTTTCTCTTTCCCTGTACTTCGAATGGTCTGTTCCTTTTATTTGTTTCTTTCTTTCCTTCTAGAGTCTTTCTTCACCCCTCTTTCACGCTGGTTCACTCCTTTTTACATTTAAAATTCTTTATTTTATTTATTTTTCTCTTTGTTTCTAAGTATTTTCCTCTCTCCTTCCTTCCTGTCATTTCCTCCTCTTTCCTCCCCTCTTCCCTTCTTCATTCCTCTTTCTATCTTTTCTCCCAGCAAGTACATACTAAAGACTAGCTCTGTGACTATGTCCGAGATTCACAGATGGAATCCTCTATTTTAAAAGATTTCTGATGTACTATTCTTGCTTGTCCAGAGGGAATGTGTCTTCCCTTGAAAGTGGGGATGGAATTGTGTACATTTCTATTATTTATTTATTTATTTATTTATTTATTTATTTATTTATTTATTTAGTCATTCATTTTATGTGTATGAGTGCTTTGCCTGCACATATGCATGGATGTCCACAGAGACCAGAAGAAGGCATTGGATTCACTGGAACTGGAGTTGAGGACAGGGGTTAGCCACCATGTGGGTGCTGGGCCCAGGTCTTCTGGGAAAGCAGTAAGTACTCTTAACCTCTGTGCCTTATCTCCAGCCCCTGTGTACATTTCTTTAAAAAAATTTATTTATTTTCATTTTATGCATATGAGTGTCTTGCCTGCACGTGTATAGGCACACTACCTGCACACAATTTCCTTGAAGGCCAGAAGGGGGCATCGGCTCTCCTGGAAGAGGAGTTAAGGTGTTAACTGCCATGTGGATGCCGGGAACAGAACCATCGCTTCTGCATCTGCCCCGGACATTTCTTAAGGTTTACTGTAGTAGGGACTTAGCAAGCTAAGGAACTTCAGAGATCAAGGAAGGATGGCCAGTCCTTGAAGCATTAAGGAAGCAGTATGCTGTATCCTTAGGAAAAAGTGTAGCAGAAGTTTCAGGTGGGAGGCATTGCCAACATGACCAGACAAGGAAACAACGATTCCTCCTTTAGCTCTCAATGTCCTCAACCCTAATTTCCTTTCATAACTTGAGAACTTTCAGTCAGTCCCAAGCAGTTTTAGTTTGAAACTAGCTCATCAGAGCAGCATCACTTCCTTTAACATGAAGGCTGTCTCATAATATTACTCCTTTGACCTGAGTCCACTTTGTCTCAGTTTGGGGAAAGACTATTTTGCTTGAGTGGTTGAAGAAGTAGGGTTCTGTCATCACTTCTGGAGAACATCAAGGAAAGCCTCAATTCTTGCTCACTGAGTCCTTTCCTTTGTCCCCAGACTGGGTGCCACAAGCCATGAATTAAGAGTTGTTTTTGGTCTTTTGCAAGGCTAGCCTGCGTTGTGTCTTTCTTTACGGGCAGGTTAGAAGTCTCCTCAGGCTGAGGTTTCTAAGTCCATTTGTAAGTTCAAAACCCTGATTATTTTCTTTACCCATAGGCCTAGAATTCAAGGGCAAGGGTGGATTTTGGTGAGGAAATCAGACAGGAGGCTCTTAGAATAAACATCTTGGTATTCATTCCATGACCCCTATTTACTTCAAAGGACTGTTAAGTACAGCCAGTGTTGAGAAAGCCAGGGCAGACAGAGCTGCCTCTGGAAGGGGCCTGCTTTTGTGACTGTTGGAGTTAGCCATTACCCCAAACTTGGCCTCCGTTTCCTACTTCCTTCTCTGGAATTCTTGCCCTGTAACCTATCAGTCACAAGGGCAACGTTTGAGTCACTCATTTGTTAGACTCTGTTCAGCTTGTAGAGGAAGCCAGAAGTCAACAGCAGGCGAGTGAGAAGATTCAGGAGCACCCTCAGAGGAGAACAGTTGCTGGTGTTGACTACATCTACCCAGCAATTCCACAGATAAAAATTTAAAAGAAAAAGAAAGGAACCTAGCCCCATCAGCTCATGCTTTCTTGAGAAATGCTCACAGTTCTGACATGGGGAGTGAAGCAATGATCTGACTTGTCATCTGAAATGCCTTGACAGCTGTTCACTGTGCAATGACAGTGCTCCAAACTCGGAGAGCAAAAGAGAAAAGGCTTGCAGGTTTTTGAGAACTGCTTTAGCGTTTCCCTGAAGTGGGAAACGATTGGCTGAGATGAATTTGTAGAATACTTGGTAAGGGGAAGGCTGAGGCCCAATCCAAACCTTTACTCTATAGTGGTAACTTAGGGCCAAAACAACTGTTTCTCCCCTCACTTGTTTCCAAATATGGTTCTCCTGCATGACTCATCTGGTTGCTAATGTGTAAAGCTCTGTCGTTTACCCACTCCACAAAGATTTCTAGAACCTCCTAGACACTATTATTAGGAATTTAAAGAGATCTCAGAGCCAGGTGATTTTGTTTTTTCCTAGGGTTTTAGAACCATTTGACTATTTTCAAATTTCAAGATTTATGACCTTCTTTCTCCTGCTTACTCTTCAGATGTTGAATACTGCCTATGCCTTCCAGGTTTTGCATCTTGGTGTTTTAGGGCAGTTTATCTCAGTAAGATTGAGTTTCTGCCAGGGACGCTCTAACTCCTGCTGCCACCTAGTGGTCACATCAGATATTGCAATGTAATATGGGTGGGAGGTTTTTAAGAAAAAGGAGTGGAGCGGGACATCCTGATTAATGTAAATAATAATAATTTTCACAATAGTTCAATATCTACCCTGAAGAATTAGAAGTCATGCAGACAAGAGTATTTCCACCTTTAAAGCTTTCTGCCTGACTTCAGAACAGTGTGACAGAAAATCCCGAGCGCTGTCCTTACTGCCCCTAGCTCTGGGCCTTTGTTTAAAGTAGGTACCAAATAAAGGCCCTCCAAAGAGAAAAATGTGACATCTACCAAATATGACAACATTTCAAGGATCTGCTTGCTTTAGTTTATTCAGGTGCGTTTGGCTCAGGAAACAGAGTTACGCGTAGTTAAAAATTTTGTAGTTCAGAACTGCTGCTAAAGTAATCAAAACACACAACCTCACAGAGTAAGGTAACTTGCATAAGGCAGCTCCTAAATTTGAGACCTCTTATCCTGGTGCTGCGACAGTTAGGAAGGGAATATTTAACCTTTCCCCAGACTGTGCTGAAGTCAGTGAGAGCCTACCATCCCTCGTGATTCTGGCATCACTCAGCTCATCTACAGGCCAGTAGAGGGAGGATGAAAAACAAAGATTTGAGCCTGGAAGAAATTAGCAGTTATTGAAGAGTAAAGACCATTTAAAACAGAATTTTAGGCATCCGTGTGTCTCATGGGAAGTGGCCAAAATGCAACCTGTTGTTTGAAGCTACTGGTTTTCAGTGACAGGATTGTTTTCTACTATACCTCCTAGTTTGTCTAACTGGTTGATCAGTAGGCTGAACTTTTGTTACTGCTGGTCACAGTAGGTCAAGAGCTGGGGATTTTGGATAAGCTGTTAGTACCACCCTCACACACTAGTTTGGACTGTAGTGCCTTGCTAGTTGGAGCTCTACCACTGTCACACACTGTTTTGGGGACAGGTATAGGTTTGTATTAAATAACCCCCAAGATTTGGATAAGCGACAGGTATGTAAAGGGACAGGTCATAAGCTCCCTTGTCCCTCAGACCTAGGTCTGAATATTTGATTTTCTTTTTCTCTTTTCTCCTGTCCTTTAAAATATTCTTTCAAATGTTTATTGTTTTCTCAATCACAAGTCACTGGTGACATAAGAAAGACAGGACTAGTGCTTGTGTAACAACACTGTGAACTCACCTGATCTGCATCTTTCAAGCAGTTAAAGATAAAGCATGGCAAGATTCAATCTATGCTTACCCAGCATCATGGAAACACTTGTTTTGTAGAAAAAAACCTTAAACGTCTATTTTTGATCCCATTGTTTTGATAAAAACTATTAAAACACGAGGCTAACCTCTTTAATTCCATGCTACAGGTAAACTGAACATGGAATTCAGAAATGCCCTGGTTATGCCTCCCTAGGCTGTTCAGCTTCTAAACAGACATGAACAGCTCCTTTCATACCTTTTTTCCAGCTATGTAGCCTCCTGAGGCTGCAAAGGTTTTGGTGAATGTGCCCATGTACACGTCCACATCCTCAGGGTCCAGTCCGAAGAAGTCTCTGACGCCTCGGCCATTGGGGCCCACAGCCCCAATACTGTGAGCTTCATCAATGTAGAGATAAGCCTTGTATTTCTTCTTTAGAGCCACAATCTGGGGCAGTTTCACGATGGAACCTTCCATGCTAGTGTAGAAGGAAAAATACTCGTAAGTAATAAATACTCTCCTGGGAAGCCCTGTTATTATTAGCTAAGATCTATAGTTTACATTAAGGTTCATGCTTTGAGTTGTACATTCTATGGATTTTCGAAAGAATATGAAGTGCTTCTTAGATTTGCATGTCATACCTGCCCAGGGTCGTGTTAATCTCTCTACTGTTCCAATTTTAGTGTATGTGATAGTCAAGTGAGTATTGAAGTTTTATTTTTCATGGTTTTGTAAACTGGTGAAACACTTCAAGTCCTTCAGTGAAGGGAAAATATAAAGTCAACAAATACATGAAATTAAAATTTATATTCACATGGCATCTCTGGAACTCAGTGGATTTAAAAGCACTTTGACCCTATGTGCCTCTCAGAACACTGCAAGCTGCACTGTACAGTTTTGACTGCACTGACAGGCCAGTTCTATGAAAACAGAGTCATATATTTACCACACAATGCAGCTGTCAGACAATTCAAGCAACCTTTCAGTTCAGTTAAAGAACTAATCAACTGAATCAAACAGAGAGGCGAACTTCTCCCTCCTTCCTTATTAGGTTATTAAATTACTTGCAGTGTATTTTTAAAAAAGCCTAAGTGTTAGGCTGATTTAGTCAAAACAGTCCAGCAAGCCTTACAACTACCCACACCCGGGGAGCTGAATTTAATAATCACTGAACATAGCACTGAGTGTTTCACAAGGTCATTTTGAATGGCCAAGTTCTGATTTAAATGGAATAAAGACCAAATCATCATCTCTTATGCAAGTCTGTGACTTAATGGCGGTACTACTTTAGATTCATTGCTTATTAAAGTTGTCTCCATTGAGGGAGAGGCAGTTTGGCTATCTGACAGCCAGACAGAGCTTAGACTATGGCTATGATGCTTTCAAGTGGGGAACTTGGTAGACTACACAATGTCCCCTGTATTCTATACCTCAGTCTTCTTATAGAATAATATGGCTGTGTTCTTCCTCATGGGGTCTCTATAGCCATTGCTAGTAGTCATGCTTGTCAAGTGCCTGACCAGTGAGGCTCACACAGTGAGCTTGAAAGGAGACAGTTGCAGTGAGGCTTGGCTTGAGAACCCTTAACAATGCTCTGTGTGGAATCTTCTAGGGTGAGGCAAGTGGGTGTCATTGCAGGTGTCAAACATAATAAATGGCTTAAAACCCTCAGAATTCTTGGATTTTCGTCTCATCTTTAAAATGTTATAAGTTGGTAACACAAATGTGCTAAAAAGCCTGACATGCCATAAATAGCCATTCTTTACTCTGGAACTGAATTTGGCAGGAGGCAAAGTTAATGTTGAACAGTGTTTATAGACAGTCTCGGCAGCTAATTAGCCATCTTTTCGGTGGGCTGCTCTAGCTGATGTAAGGAGCCTGCCCACCTGGTTTGTATTTATTCCTCCAAGATTAATGACTCTACAATACTGCTGATTTTTGGAGTTAAGGCAGGGCACACATAGAGTCATAAAGAGAACCCAGCTTTAATACAGTTACATTTATCCACACTGTTTTCATTGTGATTGAAGTTGCAGTGAACCATTTGCTATAGTGGAATATTAAGTCTGGGCACATCATAAATAGGCTACTTATGTTATTCCCACTAGTTTCTGTCAAAAAAATCAATATCAAAAGCAATAAAGAAAAAACAAAAACAAAAACAAAACCCTGGCATTTGTTTTGTTTTTTCCTGAGTTTGCATTTCTTTTAGCTTTAATAAATAAAAAAATAACTAAAATACAACTTTAAGTAAAGATAATGTCACCAGTTAATTTGAAGCTGTGTGGAGGGACTTGAGTTATTCTTATACCCACAAGTCAATGAATTAATTCTTTATATTTTTAAAATTACATAATGTATTAGCCAAGTGACAAGATTTGTTTTTGAAATCGTCCTCTTGTTACCTTTTCTTCCACATAGAAACCATATTAGCCATTGGTAGGTTCAGGAGTTAGACCACAGCTCAGACAACTTGTACAGTGAAAAAGGCCCAAGGTATAACCCAGGACAGGAAAGGAAAAGGGAGAGGGAGAGGGAGAGGGAGGAGGATGGATGGGGGAGGAAGGGAGAGGGAGAGAAGGATGGAAAGGAGGGAGGAAGGGAAAGA